AAACCTAGCTTACAAATAAGAATCAAAAAGCTAAAAATTACTCAAATTTGCAGCTTCAGTGCGAAGCGGATATCTCTCAACTCATAATTTGTTTTGAAATTCTGAACAGTCAAAAAGTAGATACATGTGTTGTGAACATGTCCACTAAATTTCAGTTTGATCCGACAGTGAACTAATAGGGGATTGTTGATTTAATTATTCAGACTTGTATAGAAAAAATGGGAATATAATTTTTCTCATCATTTTTCTCTTTTGAATCATTATTTTCTCCCTATTTTTCTTAAACCTAAATTCATACTCTCCCTTTAAATATGTGAGACAAATAAACTATTTATATTTATATATTTCTCTAGACAGAATGGAAGCCCAAGCCCAACACCGTCTACATCATGTGTTAAATTTGGTATTGAATGCATAATATATATATATATATATATATATATATATATATATATATATATATATATATATATATATATATATATATATATATATATATATATATATATATATATATATATATATATATATATATAATGAATTTCGTTCTTTTAAAGTTCGATATGGTATACCAAAATAATAAAATAAAATATTATACGTAGAAGAGAACTGAAATTGTATTACCTGCAAGTTTGTGTGGCTATATATTACATCTGTTGAACAGTTTAGCATGTTTCTAATTTAGTTGTCCTGTAACTTTATCATTTGGGTTCTTCTTGAGTAGTAGCTATATCATTTACGTTCCTTTTGAACAGTAGTTCCAACCTATGATTGTTCAACTTATGATAACGTATTAAAGAAGAGAAATGCTAGTCTTAGACCAAAAATAATACATAACTTTGTTTTTTTAACAATTTGTTTTTTGTGCCACAGTTAAAATGGCTTGAAAAATATATATATTATTCTTACTCCAAGAGCAACTTATTATATATTAATTCTTTTCAATTTAATGGTTAAAAATAAAAAGTAATTAAATGCGAAGAGAATAAAATATTACTCTTACTCTTGGAGTGCAGTAAAATGAAATTGCTTGCAATCAATCAAAATGGAATTTTTATTTATAAATTAATTAATAAAATTTCTGAAAGAAATTGTTTGGGCCTTGAACTCATATCCTAACAATATCTCACCAATTCACAAATATACAATTGTGTACGTTTGTGTGAATTATATAAACACTGAAATCAAGTGAAAGGAAAACGATGTGGAACATACAGGGTTTCTTCATCACCATCCAAATGGTTATGTTTAAGGCGTTGTGTTTTGGTTATGTGTATCATGCCATTCTTATTATAGAACATAATAATAATTTATTTCCATAACTGACACCTTAACAAATTACTGTAAAAAAAAAGGGTCCTAGAGAGAGAACTCTCTAAAAGGTACCGATGGCTTTTATACTTTTAACATAATGTCCGGTGGTCCTGAATGGACGGAGGTGAGAAGGAAAGGTATAAGTAGGGTGGTTCTTCACTAGGACACCTTTTCGGTTGGGCGGGTTTCGTCTTAGTCTGCAGAAGACAACATTTATTCCACTTTCTTTTATGAAATCCCTGATACAATTAGAGCTCATGATATATATGAGTTATTTGGTTGGGTGGGTGATGTTGTGGAGGTGGTTATTCCACCCAAAAGAAACAAAGTGGAGAATAGATTTAGTTTTGCAAGGTTCAAGGAAGTTGTAGAGGCTAGAATATTGGCAGTGAAGATTGATAACATTATCATTGATGGAAAGAAGATTCACGCGAATCTTTCTAGGTTTGTTCGTAGCGGTGGTGTTTCTTCTGTTGTTTTTGTCACACAAACACCAAGGTTTAACGACTCTAACCTCAACCTACACAATGTCCTTGATTCTAACTAAACTAATAAATTATTATAGCACTGCAAAGTAAATCAAATGGAAAGAGAGAAAACATACACAAATTTGGAGCTTTGGAGATGAGTTGGAATGACTTGAGATGAGTAGAAATGAGGAGATGAGTTTGAATGAGGCTCATGAGTTTGTAAAGAAATGAGTTCTATGTTCTATTCACTGTCCTGATAACAATTTAATGACTTCAGATGTGCATATCTGAAGTGTTAAATTATGGGGTGGATTCAGATATGCACATGTGAAGTTATCTTTTCTTGACAAAATAAAATGGCTTCGGATAGGCACATGCAAAAACACCTTTTTTGGACAAATACGGCGCGGTCAGATATGCACATCCGAGTTCTTGAGGTTTTTTGAGTTTTTTGCCAGATACCTGCAAGAAGATAACACGGTGGAGAAAGAAATTAGCGTTTCACAATTGTTTGCCCTTTACTCAAGATGCATGGAACAATTTCTGCTACATGTGAAACTATCCAGGTATGATTCGGTAGTTTTTAGATTGAAATAAGTTTGTGATGGTTGAAAATGATGTAGGAAAAAAATTATATGAAAAAACTATAAATAAATTACTTATTGTAATTGATTTACTAGTTAGAAATATATGGTGATATTTTTCCTCTTTAAAATTTTTTATTTTAGTTTTACAAATTTTAAATTTTATAATCCAAATTAAATTTTGATTTTATAACTCAGAACAAACAAAAGACATATTTTTTTATAATTACCAAAAACTAATTGAAGAGAATTTTACTATATTTTCTTCAATTTATGATTATATTTAAATCTCCATTATAAAAATAATTATGAAAAATGATTCTTTATTAAAATTATAGACTTTAAATTTAATTCGGATTGAAGAATCCAAAAACTATCAACTTATAGAAAAAGTGAAAAAGAAAAAAATTTCTAAAGCGTTCTTAAATATTTGATGTCTAAAATTTAGATAGTATTTTTGATAATTTTGAATTCTAAAATTTAGATAGTATTTTTTATGAGAATTCAAGAATAAAGTAAAACGATTAGAAAAGAAATAATTATGTATCTAATATATAATAATGATCAAATACATGAATTAGTGGGGGAGGATTCTCTTCCGTCGACTTTTTACTGGACCAAATTCAGTTCACATCTTCACCATTTATTAGAATGACTTCCTTTCAAGTAAAATAAAATATAATTAAATCAATAGCTCAAATTTCACTGCAGAAAATGTACATCGTAGAGAATCTATTCACCCAATTGGTTAATAAACCAAAAAAACTTTTTTTATTATTTATAATAATGACCGATTATATTAGTATATCACGAACCACTTTAAAATGTCACGTATATTTGGGTGTTTGGTGGAATTTGTTAGTAATATATTTCATCCATTTATTTTTATTAGCACACCTTTTTGTTTCAATGTCTCTACCATTACAATGTTTGTTATTAATATATGATTCATCTATATACTTTTATTAGTACTACTTTACACTTTCGTGTTATAAACATTTATTTATAATAAAATTTGACAATTTAAAATTAAATTAAAAAATGTTGCTTTGGATTCCAACTTCTTCTCTTTTGACTCTTAAAAAGACAACTACAATTATTTAATGCAAAGCCCTACAAGTGATTGATTGTGTAAGCTTAAGTTATCACATTAACTTCTTAAAGTATGCAAACTCTACACACTATTTTCAAGAGTTTCTTGTGAGACTATTTTATCTTATTGCCTTGATTCATATTCATTGTTGTTTTGTTGTAAATTCTAGATTCATACAACTCATGACAATGACCTAAACATAAGGCATATTCCTAAGAAATGAACTATAAATTTAAAAAATTATTTTTTTAAACAAAGTACTAATGTCCTAGTCATTTGTACTACTATTATTTTTTAGTTGCCTGTTAGCTCACTTCCACTCCAATACATATTTCACAGCAAAATAACATAACAAAAAAAAAAAAAATAGCACGTAGAGTTATTTTGTCTCTCATTCCTTTCCTCCTGCTATTGTTGATTGTGAGTTACTAACTTTCCATGCATGCTTCTATCATAATAATAATTTATTTCATCTTTATTTGCAATTGTGCATGCATGTTAAAAGATTAAAAAAATTCAACATCTTCATAATATATCATTTTTATCTTTATTTGCATTTGTACAAGCATGTAGAATTTAATGCATGCTTCTAAGATTCTTCTAATTATTATTTTTTCATGCATTCAACGTACTAAGAATCGAGTTGTTCTATACGATTTAAAAAATTATGTTGTTTTTTGTTGTAATTAAATTAAAAATATTCTACATGCTATTTTTATGCTTCAAATTATGTATCTATCTGCTATATATACATAATGAATATATCTTCCATTATAAAACAAAATGTGTCTCATAACACACTAGTGTTTTTCTAACCATATATACCATCCAAAACATGTAGTTAATTTGTCACTCATTAATATCCATTTATTCAATTATATTATAGAGTGATCATGGAAGCTTTGCAAGATATATGAAACAGGTTAATCATCCTTACCTTGATGGTTGGCTCAAAAACACTCCACTAAAGAACAAAAAATCCTCCCCTAACCCCAATCACCTTGATGGATGGATGGTTGAAAGACACACTACGCCAAAAATAAGTTTTAGCAACAGATAAAAGAAAGCGCTTTTTGAAAAAAGCGCTGCTGTAGGTTTTAAAAAAAACAAATCGCTTAAAAAAGTGCTTTCAAATGGTGCCTTAAGAAAGCGCTTTTCAAAAGCACTTCTAAAGGTCACCCTTAGAAAGCGCTTTTTGGAAAGCGCTGCTAAAGCTGGCCTTTCAGAGGGTACCTTAAGAAAGCGCTTTTCAAAAGCGCTGCTAAAGGTCAGCCTTAGAAAGCGTTTTTCCAAAGCGCTGCTAAAGCTGGCCTTTAGAAAGCGCTTTTAAAAACGCTGCTATAGGATATGCTACGAAAGCGCTTTTTGATGTAAAAGAGCTGTTATAGATGATCTTTAGAAAGCGCTTTTAAAAGCGCTTTCGTAGGTAGTTTTATAATAAATATCAAAACATAATTCGTATCACTTTTCTATTCTCAGTCAGATTTTCTTCACGAAAAAACCCTAAACCAGAGCTTCTACGGCGGTCAACGGCGCGGTATGAATTTGGATTATTTAAGTCATGCCTTGCACGTGACTAGGCCGCTCTCGCACGTGCAGTTTCCTCATCTTGCTGCTGCTGCTACTTCCTTGCCTACAGTTAAAGGACACATCAAGGTTTTGTGAATTTCGACTTTGAAGCTCTTTTTTGTTGTTGATTTTTTGAATTGTGTGAAAATTGTATTATGTGAGGGTAAAAACGAGAACGAAATATTGGAATTAAATGACGATTATGGATTTTCCTTTTTGTTATGAGGTGCGGTTTAATTCTATTTAATTGTATAAATTGGATTTATTGTTCGTGGATGGTGAATTCCATTGGAAAGTTTGCGGTTTGTGAGCATTTCTTGTTCTTGTTGTTATTTTGATCTGGAATTTTTAAGTGTTTTTTTCAATGAAATTTTCTTTGGGTTTTGTTTTAGGTTACTGGTAGATCTACAGTTTCAGATGTCAATGGGCATAAAGACACAAGTGCGAGGTAAATTTCTTTGGATGAGGTGTGGTGTAGTTAAATTGGTGTTTTGTCATCTTTTATTTTGGTTATGGAGTTGGATTGATGTTTCTGGTGTGTTTTTTAGGGAAAGAAGTAGAGATGACACACTTACTATTGTTAGAGACCGAAAAGTGAGCCCTAATTCTCTTACTTCTCTCTCATAGCCAAGTTTTTATATCTACAATTACTATTGAGCTGTTAATGAATTAATTTGCGTTTGTGATTTGAAAGTATCAATAGATTGTAAATACTGTCTTGATTTAATTTTGAAACATCTTGAGAATTGCATATCCTTGTTACTACTATTCATATCTATATTACAGTGTCCTTATCTTATTTTGACTTTATTGTTTATGTTTCTTTCTAAGGTTAAAATGTCTTTGTGATATGTCAACAGTTGTAAACTGAATTGATAGAAAAACATAAAATAATATTGTAGGCGTCATAATAGCATATCATAAAGTACTAACAATATGATATCCTAAGTCTTATGGGAAAAAATGAGAACAGAGAGTAAGGTGAAGATAATAACATGGGTGATGACCTAAGGAAAAAATTGCAAAATGAAAAAGGTAACCTCAGAAATGACGAGATGATTGTAAATGAAAAAGATGAGAACTGACCATAGGAAAAAGTTAACAGAAGGAGATAAGAAGAAAATTTGAAAGAGGAGATAATAAAATTTATAAAAGTAATAGAGTAACTAGGATAGGATGTAGAACAATAACAAAATAAATTTGAAAAGGAAGATGATTTGTTCACTGGAGAAGGATGCTCATGCTCTCCAGAGAATGGAGGTTGTCGGATGCGAGAGAAGGTCCTGTGGAAGTTGCCGAAGATGGGAGAGAAGGTCACTGACGAAAACCAAATGTTCGAGAGGTTGGTAAGCGATGCAGAGAAACCGTTGTATAATGGTTGTACAAAATTCACAAGATTGTCTGCGGTATTATAGTTGTACAACTTAAAGGCGGGTAATGGATGGTCAGATAAAATTTTCATAGAGTTATTAGCCCTTATGAAAGATATGCTACTAGAGGATAATGTTCTCCCCAATCGAACGTATGAGGCCAAAAATATGTTGTACTCTATTGGCATGAGCTATGACAAGATACATACCTGTCCAAAAGATTGTGTTTTGTTTCGAAACCATTATGCATCATTAAATGAGTGTCCTAAATGCGGTGCCCCTCGATATAAGAAAAAGTTGTCTCCAGCAAAAGTCTTATGGTATTTTCCTATAATTTCGAGATTTAGACGGATGTATCATAGTGAAACCGATTCAAGACACTTAACTTGGCATGCAGATGAAAAAATTGTTGATGGAAAGTTTCGACATCCGGCAGATTCACCATAGTGAATGAAAATTGATAATGATTATCCTGAATTTAGAAAAGAAGCAAGAAACCTTCGCTTGGCATTGTCTACTGATGGACTTAACCCATACGGTATTCAAAGTATCTCGCATAGCACATGGCCTGTAATTCTTATGATTTATAACCTACCTCCGTGGCTATGCATGAAGCGTAAGTACATGATGTTATCTATGTTAATTTCTGGGCCTAAACAACCAGGAAATGACATAGACGTATATTTGGAACCTTTAATCGAAGATTTGAAGATTTTGTGGGAGAACGGTGTGGAGGTTTATGATGGGTATAGGAGAGAAAGTTTCAACTTGAGGGCGATTTTGTTTGGAACAATTAACGATTTTCCAGCCTACGGAAATCTATCCGGGTATAGCATTAAAGGTGAAAAAGCGTGTCCTATCTGTGAAGATGGAACCGATACGATGCGATTGAAACTTTGTCAGAAGAATGTCTTTCTCGGTCATCGTAGATTCTTAAATTCGAAACATCAATATCGTGGATGGAGAAAAGAGTTTAATGGAGATACCGAAAAACGTAGAGCCCCGTCTGGATTGACAGGTGATCAAATATTTGAAAAGGTGAAAGATGCGAGTATTCAGTTTGGCAAGCCTTTTTCACATAAAGTTGTCACAGGTGGGTGGAAGAAGAGGTCGATTTTTTTTTAATTGCCATATTGGAAATCTTTGTACGTAAGACATTTTCTTGATGTTATGCATATTGAAAAATATGTATTTGACAGTGTTATTGGTACGTTACTCAATATAAAAGGGAAGTCTAAGGATGGCCTTAAAGCAAGGGAGGACATGGTAGAGATAGGAATAATAATTGAATTGGTACGTAAGTGAGATTATCCGGATATGAAGTTAATGATTGATACGTAAGTGAGATTATTCTAAATATTTGTGTGTATTTATATATTTAATTATTTCGATGACATTGTTCTAAATATATATATTTATTTAGTTAGAGCTATACAAGTATTCCGGTGTCAAAGAGAAGCTCGGGTATAACGGTCTAAATCAAACAATATTAATTGGATCAAAGTGCAATTATATTAATTTCCACTATTTTGATTATAATATTTATGCTATTTGATAAAACAATACAACTATATATTCTTATTTGTTTTTCTATGTAGTGTCCTCAACAGCAAAACGGTATAGATTGCGGATACTTTGTTATGTGATTTATCAAAGAAATCCTTCAACTGAATCAAATAGAGATTCCAGTCACGGTATGCATTTATAACTTAGGATTTGTTTTATTATTTCTCGGATATTTCATATAATTTTTTACTTTTAACTAAATCATGCATATTATGTTTTGTTATGTAGTACTTCGATGAATACAAATGTGCATATTACACGAAACTTCAGTTGGAAGAAATCAAAGAGGAATTGTGTCAATATTTTATAGAGTAGAGAATCATATAAGGTATGAATACATTATTATGTGAAAAGTGTTATGAATACGTTATATGTGTACATGGAATACCATATTGACCGTGTTATAATGTTGAAACCTCGCAGGACCAGGACCTTAATACATAATTGACCGTGTTTCTTTCATACATTAGGACTGGTTTAGTTGTTGTTAGGGTTGATTTTGTAATACTGATTTTGAGTTACAATGCTGATAACAATGGTTTTTATATATTTTGAGGTACAAAAATGGTGTATATATATTTTGGATTACAATGGTATATAATGCATTACCGCGGTTTATGAATTACAGGTTATAGCAACTAGTTTATATAAATAATATGCTGCAAACAATGCAGGTATATGAAATTATATAAATTATATTTCTAAAAAAACACCCTATGAAAGCGCTTTTTCAAGAAAAATCCTGCCTTAGGTAACCTATGAAAGCGCTTTTTCACAAAAAGCGTTGTCTAAGGTAAACATATGACAACGCTTTTCCAGGAAAAAGCGCTGCTAAAAGACCACCTATGAAAGCGTTTTTCCAGAAAAAAGCGTTGCTAAAAGCCTACCTAAGACAGCGCTTTTCCAGAAAAAAGCGCTGTTAAAAGAAAACTTATGAGAGCGCTTTTCCAGAAAAAAGCGCTGCCTTAGGTAGACCTATGAAAGCGCTTCTTCATAAAAAAGCGCTGCGAAAAGCCTACTTAAGAGAGTACTTTTTAGAAAAAGTATTGTATTAGGTAGACCTACGAAAACGCTTTTCATTAAACAAAAAGCGCTGCTAAAACCTATAGCAGCGCTACCATAGCCAACGCTTTTAAGCGCTGCTAGAGGGCAAAAAAAACGCTTTCTTAGGACTTTTTTGGCGTAGTGACACCAGAGGCGAGAAAACAAAAGTCAACCCTAACTCCAACCAAGTTTACCTTGATGGATGGTTGAAAGATACCAGAGTCGAAATAGCCAAAGAAAACCATGACTCCAACCAAGTTGACCTAGATGGATGGTTGAAAGATACCAGGGCCGACAAAGTCAAAGCCAACCCTGACTCCAACCAAGTTTACCTTGATGGATGGTTTAAGGATATCAAAACTGAGAAATCTAAAGTCAACCCTGAATCTAACAAGGTTTACCTTGATGGATGGTTGAAAGATACTCGAACTGAGAAAGCGAAATATACCTCTAACTCTAACCAAGTCTATCTTGATGGATGGTTGAAAGACACTCATACCGAGAAATAAAAATCCAACCCTAACTCCAACCAAGTTTACCTTGATAGTTGGTTGAAAGATATCCGAGCTAAAAAAGAGAAATCTACCTCTGAATCTAACCAAGTTTACATTGATGGATGGCTGAAAGATATCCGAGCTGAGAAACAAAAATCTACTCCTGAATCCAACCAAGTTTACCTTGATGGATGGTTGAAAGATACCCGAACCAAAAATGTAAAAGTTAACCCTAACTCCAACGAAATTTATCTTGATGGATGGTTGAAAGATATTCGAACCGAAAACATAAAATCTAACCATAACTCCAACCAAGTTTACCTTGATGGATGGTTGAAAGATACCCGAACCAAAAACACAAAATTCATCCTTGACTCCAACCAAATTTACCTTCATGGATGGTTAAAACAAAACTAGTTCATATATACTAATTGGTGTCTATGTACTGTAATGTCTTAATTGTTGTGTACTAAGTTTTGTCATATTTGTGTTCTAATTAAGTTCCAACTTTGTGGAAAAGGCTTGGTTATTATTGTTTTTTATTTGTTCACTAATTAAGTTATTGGTTTTGTGTACTAAATAATTTATTAAAAAATAAAACTCAATTTATTATGTAAAAATTACATGAAAATTATAGTTTTGTTTGCACAAAAAGATTATTAAAAAATTAAGCATATGTCATATTATATTTATACTTCATCTAGTCACACATTGTATCTTTTTATATCACTATACAAGAGTATATCATGAGAATCACAATCAAACAATTCAAATATACGAAATCAAACATATAAAGATAACATACAGTATAGGTGTAATATATTCCAATTAGAATATATAATAAATGAATAAACAATTTAAAAATAGAGAAACATATATATTTTTGGTGGGTTAAATGAAACATGATGTGATACGGTGGGAGAACTGACTAGGGTTTTGCGTTTGTTTTCGCAAATGTTTCGGTTGAGCAAGAGTCGCCACCGACTTTTTATTTTATCCTAAGGAAAGTTTAAAAAAGCACAGTAAAAACCTTTGAGATTTTTCTTGGGTTCGGGGAGTAGATTATAGAAAGGGAAGGTATTAGCACCCTTTCTATCCATGGTTATCCATGGGCTCTTAGGTACTTGCTTAGATCAACTTTCCTTGGTTTTCA